GAACGACCCTCGGCGGCGCGCGAGCAAGAAAGAGAGGATGCTCGGCGAAGTCCGGTGATGGTCGACGGCGAAGTCCGGTGACCGTCGACGACGTCAATCCATGGCGAGCGACGGACGTCGATGAGTGAAACACGCGAGGTGAGAGAAGGGAAGGAAACAAATGAGCAGCCAGAGGGGCTCGGTGATGAAAAATAGGGCTTTCACCGGCGGACGTTTCGGCGGATTAAACGCCGGTAACATTGCCGACGCAATTTGCGTCAGAAATATTTCGTTGAGTTTAAATACGCCGGCACAATATCCGCCGGTTATTTGCGCCGATATTTTTCCGTCGTAACGTGCGATGAAAATGGTTCAGATCTCGTTTTACCGACGTATAGACCGGCGCATGGGACACCAGAAGGTTTCCGGCGTATTTTGAGCCGGAAAATGCATCGTAAGGTTTCCGTCGCAATAATCCGCCGTTACCTGCGCCGTTTGTACCAGCGCAAAATTTTCCGCTGGAAAATCCGACGGTAATCGCGTGTTTTGCCATAGTGTGACCTCAACTTTTGATCCAACCCTTTGCAGCCCTTTCAGAGAATAAAGCATATCCCAAAGATGAGTTCCCATTACCTATCCCTGAACTCATGATTGACATTGCTTCTTCTCATAGTCTCTTTTCCTTTATGGATGGATCCTTGAGGTACAACCAAATCAAAATGGCCCCGGAGGATGAGCAGTACACCGCTTTTAGAACACCCATTGGAATATATTGTTATAAGGTCATCCCTTTTGGCCTTAAAAATGCTGGTGCAAACTACCAGCGTGCAATGACCAGAATTTTCGATGAACTCATTCATGACAAAGTTGAATGCTACATTGATGATCTCGTGGTCAAAAGAAAAAAAAGAGAGGATCTTTTGTTTGATTTAAGGGTTGTATTTGAACGGCTTCGTCGGTACGATCTCAAGATGAATCCCTTCAAGTGTGCTTTTGGGGTGACTTCAGGGAAGTTTCTTGGGTTTGTTGTTCGACACCGTGGCATCGAAATTGACCCTACTAAAATCAAGGCGATATTAGAAATGAAACCTCCTAGAAGTCTTACTCAACTAAGATCTTTCCAAGGTAGGTTGACATATCTAAGACGCTTCATATCCAATTTGTCTGGTAGATGCCAACCCTTTGCAGCCCTTTCAGAGAAAGATTTAGAATTTTATTGGGATGATAGCTACCAAAAAGCTTTCGATAGTATAAAATGCTATCTCTTGTCCCCTCTAATTTTGGCTGCCCTATCCCAAGGAGGCCATTAATTCTTTACGCTGCAGTCTCTGATGAGTCTCTTGGTGCTTTTTTGGCCCAAACCAACAATGAAGGAAAAGAGAATGCCCTATACTACTTGAGCAGACATCTAATTCCTATAGAAATGAATTATCCTTCCATTGAGAAACATTTCTTATGCCTTATCTTTGCAGTCCAAAAGCTCAGGCATTACATGCTCTCTCATAAAGTCAATCTGATCTCTAAGGTAAATCCCCTTCAGTACCTCATCACCCGTCCAACACTCTCAGGACATTTAGCCAGATGGGCCATGATACTACTTCAACTCGATATCATTTTCACTCTCCAACGTGCTGTAAAAGGACAAGCTCTTGCTGATTTCCTAGCAACATACCCAATACTAGCAGGATCTCCCTTGAATGACGATCTTCCTGATGAACAAATAATGAATTTAGATGACCATGAAAGCCGCGCTTGGGAGTTATATTTTGATGGTGTAGCCTCTTTCCAAAGAGGTACTGAACCACAAAATCTCCTCCCTGATAAGGCTGGAGTTGGTTTGATATTCATAACACCTGATAAAGCCTTATTACGATATTCTTACAGTTTATCAGACCCTTATACAAATAACGAGGTGGAATATGAAGCTCTGATAACTGGTTTAAAATTAGCAATATCAATGGAAATTAAAATTTTCAAATTTTATGGCGATTCACAGTTGGTGATTAACCAAGTTGCAGGAACACATAAAGCCTTGAAATCAACTTGCTTAAATACCACTCATATGCCATGAAACTGTTTGAACAAATTCCTAATGCGACTTTGGTTAGAATACCACATGGTCAAAATGCTACGACGAACATTCTAGCAAAGCTTGCTAAGGAAATGTCATGCCCTGAAAAGGATTCAGTCCAAATAGAAGTTCAAAATCGTCAAATTTTGTCTCCTATTGACTTTGAAAATTTGAATGAACCTTCTTCCTTCGGTGAGTTTTCATTTGTGGTAAATGATGAGGATGATTGGCGCCAATCTTTCATTGAATATCTCTGAAATGGTAAACTACCGAAGGAGAAGTCTGTTGTTGACCAAACAAAGAATATAGCATTGTCATTTTCACTGATCAACAAAATCTTGTATGGGCGGTAATTTGACCAAATGTGGTTGCGATGCCTTGCAAAGGATGAAGCCCACAAGATAGTGACCGAGGTACATGCGGGGTTATGTGGTGCCCATCAATCGGGCCCAAAAATGAAATTAAAAATTAAAAGGCTTGGGTACTATTGGCCTTCAATGATTAAAGATTGTGTTGAGGTAGCACGAAAATGCCACCAATGCCAAGCTGGGGAACCGATATTGTTGGGCCTATAGACCCTCCTTCCTCTAAGGGTCATAGGTTTATACTTACTGCAACTGATTATTTCTCAAAGTGGGCTGAAGCCGTATCATTGAGAGAAGTCAAAACTAGCCATATGCTGCAATTCTTGAAGGACCATATTGTATACAAGTTTGGCGTTCCACGTCGAATCATATTCGATAATGGTCCTGCTTTTAAAAGTACCAAGCTTAATCAATTTGTTAACAAACATATCATTGATTGGAGGTATAGTACGATATACTATCCTCGAGCTAATGGATTGGCTGAAGCTTTCAACAAAACATTAGTTCAGTTGTTAAAGAAGACCTTAGATGAGAACAAACGTCAATGGCATGAAAAGTTGGTAGAGGCGTTGTGGGCCTATCGGATCACATATAGAATCCCAACACAGGCCACTCCGTTTGCTCTAGTCTATGGAGTGGAGGCGGTTCTCCCTTTGGAGTTACAGCTCCCATCTCTTAGAATTGCAATAAACAATGAAATTACAAGTGAACAAAATGCCCAACTAAGGTTGGAGGAACTTGATGGTTTAGATGAGAAGCGTTTGCTTGCTCAATAGAACCTCGAGTTGTAACGAGCCTGCATGGCTCAAGCCCACGATAAATTGGTCAGTTCTAGGACTTTCAAGGTTGGCGACTTGGTCCTAGTTCTTCGCAAACCGATTATAGCCCACCGTAAAATAGGTGGCAAGTTCAAACCTACTTGGGAAAGCCCTTTTGTAGTAGAAAAGGCCTATTAAGGTGGATCTTACAAGATGATTGATTGTAATGGTGAACGTCCTATGTTGCCTATCAATGGGCGTTACCTCAAGAAGTATTACAATTGATTGTATGCAAGCTTTAATTTTAGTGAATGAATGTTTCTTTCATATGGAAATGTTCTTTTTATCTTGTTGTGGACTAGGTCCGGATTATCAAGACATCGGTTCAAACTCTCAAATACTTCATCTTTCCCCCAAAGGAAAGACAATTCATCTTTCCCAAAAAGGAAAGAAAATTCAATTTTCACTAAAAGGAAAATCAAGTTCATCTTTCTCCAAGTGAAAGTTCATCTTGTTTCTTTCTCTAAATGAAGGAAAGTTCAAATTTATCTTTTTCCAAATGAAAGTCAAATTCAAATCTTAGTACCAAATGCTAAGTGTGGACATCTCCAAATAGGAGTCTTCTTATCAATTTCAGAGTTTAGGTAGAATTCAAACCTTCTAAGGCCTCTCCTAGCTCACCCCTTTAGATCTTGTTCTATCCAAATTGAACGCCATAGATCTACTCAAATTTAGACTTTTAGTGGTTACCAAAATACCCTTTAGTCTTCCCAAATATTAAGAGTTATCTAGCCAAAATAGATAATCTTGTACCAAATACCTTCAAGGCCTAAGTAGTAGCCAAAATACTCTTAGCCTTAACCTTTTTGAGTTTTATTTTATCAAAATAAGATGAACTCTACCTTTACTTGGTTGCCAAAATACCTCTTAGAGCTTTCCAAATAGGTGACAAATACCTTTTGACCTTTAGGAAACAACAAATGTTCCTAACCCTTCTCAAGTGATAGAGAAAATATATATGAGAAATCTTTAGGTGGTAGCCAAGATACCCCTAACTTTTAGGATATAGCAAGATATACCTAAGACCCCTTTTTGAGAGACACCAAATGTCTCTAATCTCTTTTCAAGTGATAACCAAAACATCCTTGAAAGCTTTGTAAGTGGTAGCTATAATACCCCTAGCCTTTATGTGATAGAAAAGTATCCCAAAGCTCTTTTAAAAATTATCAAATTCCTTCTAATCAAACCAAATTCTTTCTAAAGATACCAAATATCTTTAGAAATTCCTTTTAGAAGTTGTCAAAAATACTTCATTCCTACCAAGCCCCCTCTAAAGGTACCAAATGTCTTTAGAAACCTCTTTAGAAGTTGCCAAAATACTTCTAACTTCTCTTCCAAGGGTAATCTAAAACTCTTTCTTTAAGGAGATAGATAGAAATCTCCTTATCTTTGTAGATCTTGTCTAAATCTAAGTTTAGGCTTTTGTAGATCTCTCTTTCTCTTTCAAATCATACCCTATTTGATTTGGAAGATCTCGTTTGATCATCATTTGGTCAACGCCAATATATGTGGCGTACTTTTATTCGTTCACCACACATATTAGGGGTCCTTTTGTTGATGAATATTTTCATATCGACCCGACCCCGATCGAGCCCGACTAGGCTCGATCATGCTCGATCGATTGTCGTCAAGACAAAATCGACTCAAATTAGATTCCGATTTGATTAAATTAAATTTATTTTAGTCAAATTAAATTCGATTTAATTTAATTAAAATCAAATCAAACCCAATCGAACCCCGTCGAGCCTAATTCGACACAATTCGACGCCGATTTGAGTTTAATTTCATGAAATTAACTTGATCGAACCTAAATCGATCTAATTCGAGTTTGATTCGAACTCAATTTCAACCAAAATCAATCAATTTAGGCTGAATTTGGTTCTCAAATCAAAATTTGAGATCTAGGGCTGAGATCTCTTCTCAAGTCCCACCCAATTTCACTTCAATTTGGCAGCAAAATCTACTCAAGCAGATTTGCTTCGTTTCATGCTTCGAGGCCCGATTAGACGTTTTGGGGCGGCAAGCTTGCTGTGGGATTCGTCCCTAAGAGGACGAGCGAGAGAGAGGGGAGCTAATTCGGGTCCCCTGTTTCGTTTCCGTCCCGACACACAGAGAGTGCGAGAGAAGAGAGGCGGAGAGCTCCCATCCGTGTGCGACTCAACCCGGCGAAACCGATGGCTCCCACATGTGGCTCCACTATGCGTCTCCATCGTGCTCCATCACCCTTCTTCCAGCGAGCCAGAGCCTTTGCTTGCGGTCCTTCTAGTGGAAGGGAGAAGGAGGGCTTAGGGCTTTGAGACCTTCTCTCATCCCAAAGAAGGTTAAGACTTCCATTCACTCTCTTTCTCTGAAAATCAGCAAAATTAGTGGCTTCTCCCCTTCCTCCTTCAACTCCGGCGACCTCGAGACGAGTTGGGAGCTGTTTGAAGCTTCCAAATAGCAAAAGAAGGCTCCTAAACCTTCCAAACAGCGATTTGGAGCCTTCAAAACACCTTGGACAGTGGCGGCGTCGACCGGAACACCTTGGACAGCGATCTTCCTCCCTTGGAGCGGCTTGGAGCGACTTTGGAGCTTAGATTGGAGCTTGGACAGCGATCCAGAGCTTGAATGGGAGCTTGGATAGTGCTTGGAACTTGGATATGAGTGCTAGGACAACCCGGGAGAGGTATACCATTGAAACTTAGGCGAAACCTTAAAGCTCCCTAGCCAATGGCATGTGGTTGACGTTCCAAAACCTTAGGTCCCTAGAAACTTTGATTTTTGGTCCCCTAAAACCCATTCGTTGGCTGTCCACTTTGCAAAGACTATGAAAATTTGTTGATTTCCATTGGTTGACTCTTATGTAAGAGTCCGGAGAGGATTTTGACACGTGTAGAGGTGTCGGGTTGTTATCCAACTCCTCTCAAATATATGTTTGTACATTCAAACCTCACAATGTGTACAAGTACCTATTCAAGATTAGTGTCATGATGAAAATAACCATATGATTTAGGAATTTGGTTGAGCTTGTGAAGTGTGTCATAAGCCTTACAATATATAAAAAATGCTTGTGATGACTTGTTGTAGGATCTAACGTGAATTTCAAAGATTCACTTCAAAAAATCCTAGAGCAAGTGTGTTTGATCAAACTCGCCTTTGGATGTGTTGTATAGTTTGTGATAGAAAAGTCTATGGAAAATTATTTTTGCTATGCAAATATTCCAAAGTTTGGAATCTCATTTCAATGCCTTCAATGGGCCAAATCATGCAAAAAGTGATTTGACCCCTTATAAGCTTCAAATGCATGTTTCCTACTATATCGTGATTCAAGCTATATGTTATTTATTTCTTGCTTTAATTAGTGAATGTATTAACTTGCAAATTTTTCATAAATGTGCTCATTTAATCCTAAGTATTGGTAAATTTGATTTGGAGCATTTCATGAACCCCAAAGGCCCATGATCATTGCTCCATCATACTAAAGGATTATCTAAGCTCATTTTCCCTAATTTGCAAGATAATACAACTAGATGCAAGTTCTTAAATGTCCAAATCATATTAGGTTTGATTTAGGGAAAACCACTTTCTTGTAGACTTTTGATAATGTCATAGGTCGTCTTCCAAATTCAAGTTGTAGGACTATTTCCCTTTACTCAAATCATGCCAAAATTGATTTGTAGACCATTTTAATGTATTGAAAGCTCTTTAGTAGTTTTCCCTTCCCTCATGCATGGTAATTTGGAGCACCACAAAGCTCCATTTTTCCATTGCATGAATGTTCTCAACTTAGGATTCCAAAAAAGCCTAGGTTCAAACCTCTCTGCCTGTAAAATCTACAAGCATTCATCCTTTCTTCTTATGTATGGTGATGGGAACCTTCTTAAGGTTCTAAATACATACCATTGTATGACGTTTGGAGCATTTCAAGGCTCCAAAATGTTAGACTATGTGAATTCTAGCACTACCCTAGGAGCTACAAATCATTACATGTCTACTCTTAGGTCCGTCTTAGATTTTGTCAAAATGGATCTTTAGGATGTTCCTAGAAACTTTCAAATCCCCAAAATCATATCAAATTTGATTTGGGAAAACCTTCCAATGCATTAGGAAGTTAATCTTCCCTCTTTCAAGCGAATCCAAAACATTTGTAAGAGAGTGGGAGGTTCTCTTCCTTATGTACATGTCCCTCATGCTTAGTAGCTGGAGTGTTCTCTAAATCCCAATTATTATAGTGCATGAATCAAGATTTTAGGAAACAAATCCTAAGCCCCCATTGCATTTGCTAACAACTCAAAGTTACCAAATGAACGTTTCTCCCTTCATACATGATGATTTGGAATTCTCTAAAATTCCAACCTATCATTATATGAAAATCTTGTAGCTTAGAGCCAAAAATCTAAGTTATCTCTTTCTTTCATTTTGAGACTAAGATCAATGAAAGAATTCCCTTTTTAGGCTTAGGATTCTAAATCTAGCCTATCTCATTTGCCTAACTTATATAGGTAGATGGACCTCTCAATTAGTAGTTCTAAAACTGCAAATTACATCTCTTACGCAATGAAATTTGGAGCACCTCAAGCTTTAAACATATCATTGCATGAGTCCTTCAATTTTAGGATCAAATCCTAGGTTATTTCCTCTTCTTTGTTTGTTGAAATGCAAAGTCAACAAACAAATGTCACTTCTACCTCCATGTATAATAGTTTGAAGCTTATCCTAAACTTCTACTCACTATTACATGGGGTTATTGAACTTAGAACCAAACTGTAAGTTCTTTCTCTCAATTTGTTTGAACCTAAGTTTAACAATTGAACATACCGCTTAGGCTTAAGACCTAAAACTTAGCCTTTCCTCTCCATTCACTTATCCCAATTTAAGTGGATGATCACCCCTCTTTGAATACCAAATATTCAAAAGGTCATCTATGAAACTTTGTAACTCTCTAAGTTACATTTTCTTCCTTCAACCCCAAAGTTGTA